ACGAATTCGATTCTGGACTCGGCGCCAGAAGGGAAGATGTCGGATGGCGCTGCCACCGGTGACCAGGTGTAGTACCAGTCTATAGGCGAATTGGACGATAGCAACAGTGAATAATCACCATCATGTGTGTCACCTATGTAGCCCATACCTCTTTTGCTTGCCCCTTGTGCCAATGCGCAGCTAGTGCACAGCCACATGGCAGTAGCTACAACATTGGCAGCCTCTCGCGACCGTTTGCTCTTCATTTCGAGTCGATTGTTCTGACTGCCGTCCGAGTCTAGTGCAGCTGTTCGATTTTCTATATGCTGTACATCGTAAAGATTTGGATTTGAAGATCAAAATGAGGGAAATCAAACAACTCCATGGTATGTGGTATTAATCTCGTACTATTCGTTAGCATGCGTTCCATCCGCTGACGTAGATAGACCTTCAAAACCTGGTTGGAGATGGAGTAATGCTTTTAGCGAGCGACCTACAAGGCGTGATTTGGAACAGATTAGGGCCGGAACTTAGGCGATTGGGTAGATCGAAATTTGTGTGGCTATGCCAAGTAATAAATCATCATGTTATAGGTTTACTGCCATAGACGGCTTCGTCGGAATGCTTTGAAATAAATGTTGGATTGAGACAGTCCCTGAGAAATGACGTCATAGTGACTGGGATGCCGGCCATTGTCTTAGCGTCCGACCGTTGAAGATTCTCCTAGCCAATCGCTTCTGTTCCGAGATGCCGAAAAAGGAACAAGATTTCTTCAGAAACAATAACACTGCCAGCGTTGTGGTAAGAAGGTGTTTGACTACGTAGTATAGTGGTGGACTTCTTGCGCATTTTCAAAATCGGTAAATTGATAAAGGCCTTCGGGTTTAGAAATTTGACCTAATCTCGTTATTCTAACTCAAGTGAACAGTCATCACTGATGGGCATCAATCTGAAAATGACAAAGAGGAATGGAAGGGAGGACGAGGCCATAGTCCTAGCATTATCCGAGTATCAATCATAATAGGGGCTTCTCTTTGATAAGACAAAGACCCCCCTAAACACAATGAGCAAAACATTGGACTCTAGAGCGATGACAAGGTACCGACTAAAGACTATAATATCTGGACCCGTGGTGTGAACTTCCCCTTTAAGATCTCTTTTACTCTGAATGACAATGCGCTGTTGCATGATTATATCTTGAGAGAGTTTCCTTCGGCCCTAATCATGATTATCGAGGAAGAAGATTTGTTGCATGGAAAAACTTGACAATACTACAATTAATTAATTGGAAAAATTCGAACGCCATTTATTCAGACAAAGACTTTGCTGTGGAGAACTTTGTTTCAAACATGAGAATATCTCTACCTAGAATCTCAGAAAATCATGAATGTGAGAGCGGTCCTGTGTCGCGTCATTCACTTCCCAGGTTGGAGATTCGACAGGTACATAGACCAGCACCAAAAGAGATCCCACCGCATAAAGTCAACGCCTTCCTGTCTCTGATGCGCTCATCTCCCCCAATCCCTCCACCTCCCAAGGAGACTGATATGGAATACTCTGCAATCTCACAGAGTCTGCTATTTACCATCAACGAACAAGAAGAACTTCTGCAGCGCCGAGAGATTGTAGGAAGCTTAGTATCAGCTCATGGTGAGGCTTTAGACAGATGGTCGGATGATCTCCGAAATGCTGAACTCAAGCAAGAGGTTCAGCGATGTGCAGCGAATCGCCAGGAGAATTGTGAAGCGTTGGGTCGCATCTTAGTGGGCCGTTCCGTCCGTAGAGAGTTCCGTAAAGACTTCAAAGACTATCTTGAGATTGATCCTGAGCTCTTTTAGTCCTGTCAGACTCTGCTGCCAGGATTTTTAATCGAATATCTGGCTTTGACTCCTTGCATAGACTTGTCATCAGGCAAGTAGGCAGCAACGCAAATCGTAAAACACGCACAGATTTCAAATTATAAAAATTAGCTTTGGTTTTATTTCCTCTCCTTTTCGTCGATGCAACTCTCGTCTTATGATCTTATGTTCGATACATAAGTAATTGATAGTAGTGTCGCCCAGGTTAAACTGGTAGAAACCCTCATTGTTGCGCTGCGTTCCCCTCCTTGTGCCGCATACGACATGGTTGTTCAAGAGGTAATCTTAAATTGCACGGTTGACCAAAAAGTGCATATCTAACGGATTGGTAAGTCGTGAGAGCTGGTACTATTATATAGCTAAGGATTTTACCGATAATGTACTTGAAGGAAACCCTGCCTTGCAAAAGTGGCAGTAGAAGTCTGACACAAGAAACCGGATTACACGCCGTTGAACTCTCCCCTTTTTACCTTCAAGACTAACTCGATGTGCTCCATGGCAAGGGGCTCGCTTTTCTGTTTAGATAGCAAGCGTGACGCCTTCACGATATTCTTGATCTCTCTTCCATTCATCTCATGCTTGGCCAGCGCCGTCAGATCTTTCTCAGTGAGCCGTGTTTCCTGATAAGATCCCAAACCCATGGAGGTCTTCCATATGTACAGCCTGCTCGCGACGTCTAGGTCCGGATAATTGACTGTCAGATGAATGCGGGATTCAAATGCTGCATCCATGTCGCCAATGCGATTAGTAGTCAGAAACATGACGCCTTTGTAATACTCCAGCTTTCGAAGGAAAACTAAAGGCAGTGTGTGAGTGGGGCAGGTGGCAAGCAAATCGTAAGCTGGAGATGAACCTACTAGAAACAAGACGATTACGTCGTATATCAGTTGTCGTGCGCGCACTAAGAAAAAGATCGCATTCGTCGAGCAGTAGGATGGCATTCCATTTATTACTGAGCTCAAGGACCAGCTCCAACGATTCTTCGACGTCTGCGGCGGTCTCGCCCAGCTCTCCGGCACTCATAAGGTATAGGGGCTGACGCATTTCTTCCGCAACTAAGAGTATAGTTGTTTAGTCTTCATGAAAAATTGAACGGTTGTTGGAGGAGATTGTTACCTGATTCAGCGGTTAATGTTTTACCGACACCAGGAGGTCCAGTCAAACACATGATGAAGCCCAAGCCTAACACATCCCGATTAATAAGATTTACTAATAAAGCACTAATGTCATGGCTCTCACCCTTTCCAAATATGACATCGCCAAAATCATCGTCCTGAGACAGTTGCTCTCGAACAAAGGCGTAGATAATATCCTTGTATCCAGGCGGGAGAACGAGGCGTGAGAACGCATCTTCTCTCCACTGTATGGGAACGATACCCTCGACGTAGAACTCGGCTATGAGATTTTAGCTCCCAAGAATCAGATATCAGAAGCTGGAAAGTCTGTGTGCTGCCTACCCCATGTTCGAGACGCGAGGGAGTATCCGGTAACCATCGGGGTGCATAACAACCGCTGCTTAAGACTGAGAGATCTAGCTATTTCCTATTGTCAGGCATCTAAGTCGAGATCAAAGGTGAAATACAGGACTCACATCGAGATGGCTCTTTGGTATGCTTCTTGCTTCCTTGACCCGACATCAAGGCTTTACAGAAGCGCTGAAGATCACTGTGGGTAGCTTGGTATATCACGTTTCCTCCATTAGTGGTATCAAAAGCTGGACCCTCGTCGATTATGGAATCAAGGGATTCGAGATGAGGGCTGGCATTGCCAAAAATGTTGAATGTCTGAGGATCAATAATGATGCGGCTATTTTCCACCTGCAAGCACAATGCCGTCATCAGAACCATCATCGTCATGGAGTGTTTCATTACTTACATGTCTTTTCCGAACTTGCTTCGAGGATCTTGCCGTGTAGAACCCGGAGTATGACACATGATGGAAACCGTTGAGTTGCTCTAGCTTCTCTCCGCGCGCAAGCAATTGGTTGACAAGGCTCTCCGCGTTAGGGTGGAGATGGGCCGGCATGGTATCGAGATCTGTGAGCTTCTTGACACCGTCGAATGAGCCAATATCAAGTGACGTAGACACATAACCGAAACTCAATCCGTCACAATCAATGTAGCGGCATTCTAAGGTGAGGTATTCACCACTCATGTTCGCCATATACCTGCTATCCCTAAGTGATAGTATTCGGTCTTGGCCGTCAATCAAGGTATGGATTAGCATTCCCGGCGAGAATATAGCCCATAGGTATTCAAAGCTGATGACTTTGTTCTTGGTATAGTCCTCCATGGCATCAATATGTGGTTGAATCTGCTCGCTGAGGGCCGAGTGGAGCAGATCAAGATGCTTCTTGGTGCCTGAACGCTGTTCATCTCGTCGCAGCTTCTGGAATTTATGCCATCGGTAATAAAATGGGTGGAAAGGGGCCTTGAATGTCAGGTGTTTAAGGCGCGTATTCAAACTCTCGTAGCCCTCGAACGTGATATCGAGCACTTTCTTAATCCACGGGCTTTGAACCGTGATCGAATGCAAGGACATTCGATTCTTGTTTGTTAGGTCTGATTCTCTACGTACAATGATAGCGCACTCTTGCGCATAGGAGCTAGCTTCAATGTCTGTGTTTGGGGCGGCGTTGGGAGCCCATTCAGCCCAAGCTGACTGATCGTCAGGGCGATAGAACTGCTTGATGTCTGGTCTCATCCCCAAATTGTACTCTGGCACGTAATCATCGTCTATACTCATACCGGACTTTGTAGAATTAGATGTGTGGAAGTAAGTGTTGTGAGGATGTCTTGACTCACCACATCACTTTGAGAGCCTTGACTCCGCTGATACTGAATCGAGCTCCCAGCATCCGACATGTTGAATTGAATGACGAAAGAAGTTTCAAATGACTCAAATGGCGGTTTCCTTAACAAATCAAGATTGCAAGGAAGAAAAGTGACACATTCAAGTTGATGAGTTTGTTGCATCCTTTACTCGCGCCCTAGTGGTCAACAAGACAACGGGAGGGCGCAGTACTTCAAGTTACGTGCATATTTGCAAGCAATGCATATATACTCTTACATGCATACTGACTTTGTAGCAGTATGTATAGGAAAAAAAAAAAAAGAAAAAAAAGAAACAGATAGGAGAAGATGAAGAGGAAGAAAGAAACATTGATCGCTGCCCGGGTTGAACGGACGACGTTTGGGACTGGAATCGAACGCTCTACCGCTGAGCTAAGCAACCTGTGATGTCGGAACACATAAGAGATAAAGCTGATTGCCAGGAAATCTGGTATATAATGCGAGTAATGATGATAGATCGGAAAGGCTTCACCCCTTCCGACATGTGTGATGCGCCTTTGTGATACCTACCTTAAACTCTTTATCAGCTAATCGGTATCTAATCTATTGAGCTAATTCATTATTATACAACATGTGATCAACTGCTGTGTCAACTGATTCGATATGGCAGACCAGGATCAACTCCAGAACTTGCAGCAAGATGCACTACAATCGATATAAGAAAGGGAGGATAATGGTGCAAAAGACCATAAAAAATAAGATGACCACGACCCGATTTGAACGGATGACCTTCGGGACTGGAATCCGACGCTCTACCGCTGAGCTACGCGGCCCCTGTTGGTTGTTGTCGATTTCGGCACTATCTGAAAATATGAGCAGCGAATAGGATGAGCGCCGTCAATCGCTTATCACTAGCGTTTGACCGGCAGTGTCCGATCCAAAATTCCATTGAACCAGACTCTTTTAGGCAAGTGGCCATCTCCCAAGTGCCAAGGCCGCCAGGGCAAATGCTGTGCATCCTTCACTCCAAATCATTGATTTTAACTAGGAAAATCTAAAACATACTTCTTTGGAATCACCGCGTCAAAGCCTGGGCCAAAAACATGCGTAACATGTCCCAACTGCCGAAATCATTGTGACAAGTTAGTCATCAGAAAAGGTAGTTGATTGCCAGAATGGGTTTAGTGCCACGGCCAATTCCCTCATAACCAAGTGAAGTGTCGCTTCCGACTGAACGCCGCCGGACAGCTGACAAGGGACATGCTACGAACCATCGCTTCAGGTTAATTCGCTGCAGGAATCTGACGGTAAACATATATATGATGACGAGTCTAACATTCGAAGTACACGTTTATCGGATGAGTGGTGACTGGGCTTTTCTTTTCACGAGGTTGCAGGGATGGAGGCTCGACGTCGAAGTGGTACCGCTGAGATGATGGTATTATGTCACCCATGCGGCCCCTCACCCTACTAGACAAAGGATCACAGTCTTGAACAAAGACATCCAGTTAGTTGTAAGTTTCATAATATGCTTGAACTCTCGTGATGAAGCCGGCTGTTTTCCCATGTGCTTTCGGAACAAGGATTTTGTTTCCCGATTGCCAGGTGTATAAGAAGCCTGAGTGGTCTGCTTTATACATGACTTTTACCCTTTTGAACATTCCCTTAATAAGTACACACATCCACACCAAGCTCGCATCAGGTCTTTGCAGCTTGAAACACCAGGCAAGTTGAATCAACCTTTCGTTCTTGAATTTCTATTACGACGGCCCACATGCCAGCTATTGATCAAGTAGTCCTAACACATAACAGGATGTCGTACGACCAGGTACCGGAGTACCCTGACGAGCAGGCACCTCCGATCCCTCCGAAGAGCCCTTTAAGGAGACAGCCAACTCCATGTGAGGAGTTGCCCAAATGGCGGGAAGAACCGACTCCGCTCAGGAGGACCGAAATTGGTGCGCCCTTCCTACATTCAAACGCTAGTTCTGACTCTGTGGACTCCACTGACGCTGAAATCCAGGCACTCTTTGGCCCTGATTTCAATCCGGATATGGATGACGCGACTGGGAAAACCCGCCATCCTGACGCACCGCTAGATGCCTTTATCCCTCGGCCAAGAGGCCAGTCAGTTCCTCTGGCGATTAACCAAGGTCGTCTGCGTCCAGCTATGCCTCCTCGGCAGAGGTGGCATACCCATGAACGGTCCGCTCCGGGTCATCCGATCCCTCCTCTTGGCCCAGCCGGTTACGAACGCGTTGTGCCAGTAGTGCCTACAAGAATGAGGCGCGAGGCACAACAGCAATCGATGCAGCGCCATAATAGTGCTACGTCAACTGGCTCCTTCGGGGGTCGCTCTGCGCGGAATGTCTCCGTGTCTACGAATTTTTGGAGCATTCCTGAGCATGAGACTCAAGAGCGGCGGCGTCCACCGATGGAAACACGGCGATTTGCAACCTCTGGCCAGTTGGAATCTAGTGCTTTTGCCCCGGACGTACAAGAGGTCAAGAACTCGCGACCCTCTCTTGTACGGAGGTTGACGGGGAGTGACATTCTCAAGCGCACTAGGTCGAAGCTGACTAGGCGCTTGTCGAAGCTGAGCATTCGCTAAGTAAGTAATGCCCAACGTCATATCTCTGTTTTGCTGGTCCAGGAGGGAAGAGAGGAAGGCCGTTAGAATACTACATAGACAATTCAAATTTAAACTGGCTGTCGCTAACTGTTCGTTCGTTTCCCTGCAGTATCAAAGTGCGTGCACCAGTCGTCATGGAGAAAGAATGAGGCGAGTGCTATCCATTCGCGACGACGTGGTACCCTGGAAGATGTACTGGCATTGGTGGCTACAGATGCGGTTCACTGTACCTCTTGGCCTCGTGATCACTATGTGCCTCGCTACCAAGGCGAATTGGACGTCATCTGGAAGATACTTCGAGCCGGTGTCTGGCATGGCACAGAGGCTAGACTTTACTCTCTAGATGCCAGCACATACCTAATGCCACCTATCCCTGGACCGGCTCTTGTTGTTTTTGATCTTGATTGTGCTGCTCAGATTCCTGATGGTGCTTCAGTTCACAGTGATGATGCTACTATGGTATAAGCAGCGGCATCCGCCGCCTATTATCAGGCTATGTCAATCGTAAATTATCTGGGAGAACGAGTCGAGCGCAATCTCGTCTCTGTAACACACGCCTGTAGAAGCAATACTGACATTAGGGGTTGTAAAGCAGCCTGCTCGTGCTTCCTCGGCTTGTTATTTCATATACTTCTCGATACCACGGGTATCCGGCAGAGCGTATTTGGCCAGCGAGAGCTGAGAAGTTCTCAAGGGCCCGGCACGGTCGGTTCGAGACCAGTGTTCATTCAGGGAGAAACTTCCCCAAGCATCTCACGATTGATAAGAATAATCTTGCAGGTATTTGAGGGTGGGGTGTTCCATAAAATAACTTGAACTACTATTTCGAATACTATTTGATGACTTTTAAATTCTTTGAGGATGATTGTACGAAGCTGTTTTTTTCTTGCGTTCTCCCACTCCATTGATGAATATTGGACACTCCAGGGGCTCAAAAAATCAAGCAACTCTGTTCTGTTCACATGATCCGTTTATGTTCGATGTATTATACTCAAGTTATCCCTGTTTCTCACTTCCCGTGACCTCGGAATCCCTTGAAAAGCCCCTCTTGTGTCGTAACCGACGCCGACGCCATCTTTAGGCAACGCCACACTACATGTTATCGTCTGTTGGTATCATCACGTCATTGTGGTCCGTGTCATGTCTGAGCAGGATTGATCGTAGTGTTGGGTTGTCGTCAGGGAATGATGAGACGCTGCCAGGTCGCATCTTCGTCCCCGGAACACAATAACGAAAGCGCTTCCATGCATCCGCAGTAGCCGGCTTTGACGTGTACAACATCGCCAAGCTTGAGCCATATAGCGCTTTGATTCTAATTCGCAAAGTAACCTCCGTTCGTCCACTTTACTCGCACAGCGACATGGAGATTTGTCAGCTCAATAAGACTGCTGGTTTCGACTAAAAGCAAGAACCCTCACATTGTTCCATTCAAGACACCTTAATTTATCTCTCGTACTTTGGCGTGTGACCCGTCTTAATTTTACGGTTTGTCTTTTGGCTGACTCATCGGTTTTCCTCGTCGTCTTTCCTTCGAAAAAAAAAAAAAAAACTATAATCGATCTTGTTCCTTAATGCCCCAATCTTGTGTTACCTCACGAGTCACAGACGACACTCTGGAAGTTGCCAAAGGCTATTGCTCACTGGATACATGTAGTTACCGTGAGAAGAATTGCCACTATCTCAGAAAGTACCACAATCGTGAAAGATAGAACTCGAATGGCAATGGCGGGGTGTGATCTGGTCACAAGGGACGGTTATGACGTGGCAGAACGCTTGGCTGGTTCGATTTGCAAGCTTCAACAAACTCTGGGCTTTGATTACAAAGATCGTCATATATTATACGCCCCGAGCCGGAGAAGAGCATTATCAGAGCTCGAGCAGGGTATAGGGTGTTCTGGACCCAAAATGAGATGGATGTCTTAGCAACCGAGTGAGGTGGTAAAGACAAAAACAATCCAACCGAAAACTCGGCCGATTCCTATGTGGTGCCAACCCCCACTCGAGGTTACTTTTGCGAGCAATATCTTCTTTAAGTAGAAAATAAGCTGTCAGCTTACCGATTGCCCATGAGACAGCAGTGCGGTTCGTAATACGGGGTTGATCTTTCATCCGCTCCGTTACAGTGGGCATGGGTAAGGGTAATATGGTGACTGGACAGTTTGTGCCGTAAAGCCAATGTCCATAGTTGAGTTTTGAATGTGAGGGAAGCTAAAGTTGTCCCTGTCATCATACTGTCAGCGTGTTTGTGTGGCTGGGGCTGGATAGTTACATATCCAGGCTTGGCGGAGTATTTACGAGTGCACAGCGCTGCGTGATCTGCTCTGATTACAAGGGTCAAGCGGTGCCTGTTGCATGTACATGCCAGGATGTTGATAAATGTGACGTAAGTCGTATCCTAGTCAAGACTAAACGAGGACTCCTACCTAACACGATACAGTGTACAGAGTAGCGGCAATATCATTGGCGACTTCATCTGGGCAATAAGTTATGGATGCGATACCAACCATTTTTCCACCCCATAATAAACAGTTGTGAGTGAAAACGATGGAATTGGGAACTTAGAAACGTCATCCCAACAGATGTTATTTCGGCTACAATTTGCCAAGACGCTATTTACATGGGTTTCCACCAATAGAAACACCACGAGCATGGAATAATTAAGTCAATTTGTACCTGTAGCCGAAATAACATCTGTTGGGATGTAGTGGATGGCGTACAGTAGGAGCAAGGACACTTCTTCGAGTCGGAGCTCGATTACGGGTGTGAATCTGACCTTAACTTGCCTAGGTACAGGAATACTTGGCGCTATT